ATATATATATATATATATATATATATATATATATATATACATACATACATACATACCACAAATATTTTTCTTTTTTTCTCTTTCATTTCTGCTTGTTCCTTTTGCCAAACAAGAGGTTGCATGGTACTTTTTATATTTTTTTTTTATCCGGAAACTTTCTTATAAACTCGTTCATCCCAAATTTTTGTCTTTCTGTGTGTCCCGGCTGCTAAACAAGAGGTCCCGATTTTAAAATCCATTTTCGTTTTTTAAGTTTTTGTATTTTGTGTTCAAACTTTCTTTTCAACTCACACATCTCAATGTTTTATTTTTTTTTTACTTTTCTTTATTCCTGTTCTAAGAATGGCAATTGAACTATTAGATTTATTTTTATAAAAAATAAATAAAAATAAGGGTAAACAAAAGAGACCTACTTGGAGTTATCAGCATTTTTGAGGATGATAATTTAAATAAACTCCTATTTTACGAGTAATTTTAAACAATGATAAATTTTCTTGGATACCAATCCTTCTGTTATTTTTATCTTCTGTTTGTAAAGCAATTCGTCATACCCAAATCAGTCCAAAGCATTGCTAATATCAAATAAAACAATTCTAACCCCTCGTCTCGATCTAGCACAAAATAAATTGTATTGTAAACGTCTGTCAACTGATTAGCTGCCGAATCACCGGATGAAAAAAATTGACTTTAAACGTGGAATATTAGGTAGGAGTTATATAATCATGCATGTATTATATACATGCTTACAACAAAAAAGGTATAATGAACTTTTGCTTTAATGAATGCCCCAACTCTAATTTTGGTACTTGCATTGGACAATTTTTTATGAAATATGGTTTTAATAAATAAAAAACAACAAAAACAAACAAGCCAATCTTCAAATAAAGTAAATATATATGTAAATATTTCGTTTAAGCGGGGTTGGAACCTTTCTTATGCACAGATGTTACATTTTCAATTTTCCCAAAATCCATGGAAATGTTGAAGATAAAAGGAAGGTTATTAAAACTTAGTAGAGTGATATTGAATGCAACAAGTCATGGTCAAATTCATTCGATGGATTTAGATCTATTTCAACATTATTAACACCACCCGATGATACAGTAATAATATCAGTGTAAAAAAGTAAAGTTGAACTCGTGAAATTGGTTCATGAATACTAGATAAACTTTCATATTTTATAGACAGTTGTTCCAAATGATTGTTCACCGTTCTGTATTTGATTCCCACTTGGCAGGGTATGTGGGCTAACAACGAAAATATTGTAAAGCTTGGGTCCTGTTTCGTATTTGGATAAAACTAGTTGCATAAACACATGAGTAGAAATCTGTTTCATGGGAGATCAGGGGCTGTTTACATATAAAAAAAAAAAAACAACAAAAAACATGATTTCTAACAACAGAGTAACGTAAAATAGACTAAATGATCTATTCTTCAAACTTGCAACCATTGCAACTAATCCGGTGATATATCGGAAGATTCGTATCTAATCCCGGGTTCTTATTAATGTTCATATTTTCACCACTCTAAGCTCTCTTAGTCTTCGCCACGGTAAAGTATGTTTCAATAATCACCATCCATCTTTTTTAAACAGTATATTTGAAAGCTGTTGGATTTTGTTCTAATGCTCTAACGCAATATCCATTCAAGTTTGACAAACCATTTACTTTACGTCATGACAGTAGGAATTTAAGCAGCCTATAAGCTTTATGATTCGGCTACTACTTAGAAAGGTCATGCAAAGTTTTCATTTCTAATTTTTACTAGGATTTTATGTGATGGCAGACGGGCACAATCTGTACAAACTTAATAAGCTTTTTTGTCAATTTCTGTTGAGTGATTTTGAGAAGTCATTCAAATAATTTTCTCGTAATGGTGTGTATAAGTAATGGTAACTCAACGCCATCTGCATACATCTGAACGCTCTTCGTGCCATAATAATTTACGGTTGAACTGTGAAAAGCAGTCTGACGAGAAGAAGCCGTTTAGCGTTACTTGATCATTTAGTGATGGGGACAATATCTGATAGCGAATCGGCATAATCTAATACAGAGATGCTTTTCTATCAAACTTTTATCAACTTCTGCTTGTGGATTTGAGAAAAAGTCTTTTAAGGTTGTATTTTTTTTTTTGTTTGTAATTCTGATCATAGTTGGTGGAAGATCGGTATCATTTCATTTTGCACAAGCTGAAATCCATTTGCGCCGCAATGTTTCTAAACAGCTTGTTTCAATTATTTTTGGTTGCTTTTTTACAAGAAGCCATTTAAATTGTTTTATGGTAATAGCACTATGCGAAATGGTGGATCAACATTATCTTAACGAGACTGAAAGATATTCAGGCAAAGGATAATTTCTATAACGTTTGGTCGAAATCTTTCGAGTAAATTTTGAGGAGTCGCTTGAAGGTATTTTTTTTTGTTTTAGTAACGAAGTCCATAGTTAATGGTGGATAGGCAAATTTAGTCAAATTATGTTGAGTAGTTGCAAAAAAAGTTATTTTGAGGTTTTTCAAGTGTCAGCTATGGTTGTCATATTTATTAATCAATAGGCAGCATTAGAATAAATTTGAAAGTCTTTTGTGCAATTATGCTTTACCTCAGATTTGTTACATTTCTGTTAAACAGTTTTACAAGATGCCATTAAAAGATATTACAAGTTTTAGTAGCAATGGAAGCCAGCCATATGTATGTTAGGTTTGTATTAAGAGGTTTTTCTATTGCTATTAAACGTGGCCATATTTCTTAGTATATAGACTTAATCATTAAATTAAATTTTATAATACGTTATCCAGTTTGCCTCCTATCAAAGTATTTTGAACAATTTAAGAAAATAAAGTTGTTTAAATTTTTCACCGATATTTTGTTTTTAGTAATGGAAAATATAAGTAAAATAAATTAGAAATAATTGAATGATATATTCTCTTATGTAATAATTTTAATCATTTATTTTAAGCATTTTTAAGCTGTTTTTTTAAAAATAGCTTTTCTGTTGTTAGTAACGGTGACTATATTGAATGGCTGATGAGTTAGGTATGCTTTTCATCACATTTGGTCAAATTATGATGAGCGACTTAAGAGATAAAATTATTTAAAGATTTTTCCTTATATATATTTTTTAACATTGGTAGATATATTTGATTGCGTGTTGGCATCATTTGAACAAATCTATAATAATTTCATGGCATGTTTTTGTAGCTGTTTGGTCGAATTTTTTTGAGCGGTTTTTAACAGAAATATTTTATTATAAAAATAGTTTTTATAGTATTAGTAACGACGGCCATATTGAATGGATGATTGATATTATTTTTAATAATTCTAAAAGAATTTCATGCCTGGATGATTTCTGTCAAATTTGGTCAAATTCTGTTAAGCGATATTAGAGAATTTGAAAATATTATAGTAAACGAAAAAAACACAACACTATACTTCGTCATACAAGTCAACAAACGATAGTAGATATAGCAAAATACTCGAAAACAAAACTTTAAGGGCCCCAAAATAATTTCGGTTTTGAGAAGATTTGGGTTTACTGTTTTTTTTTTTTGGTTTTTTTTTGTGCAGATGTGGGAATTTGTTGTCTAAGCGCTTCTATGTGTGTGTGTGTGTGTGAGAGAGAGAGAGAGAGAGAGAGAGAGAGAGAGAGAGAGAGAGAGAGAGAGAGAGAGAGAGAGAGAGAGAGAGAGAGAGAGAGAGAGAGAGAGAGAGAGAGAGAGAGAGAGAGTGTGGGGGTAGCAGTGACAATATACTTAAGAGAGCATCGTCTGTGTGTAGGAGTGCACATAATTAGGAAATTGTTTTGTTCCTCTTTCAAATAAAACCGATATACTGAATACAGAATTTGCTAAACAATATCCATTCCTTCCAAAAATTCCATCCCGTGACATGAATAAATAGAGTTGTCACATTGAAATACATCCTCGTCACAAGAAACATTTGAAGAGCGATATACTTTTATAACCATGCTGCGAGTCCATTAGACGTATGAATGATAGCTCCACTATGTTTCATAATTATCACAGTTCAAGAGTCTCACTTGAAGAAGGCGTGGATACTTCCATTTCTTTTTGTAAATCTATTTTTAGCTAATGTGGCTTGCATGCCCCACCCCCACCCCTTCCACCTCTAAGCATCCGTGCAACTTAATAGATGACCATTAAATGTTTGCGCCCCCCCCCTAATTCCGCCAAATCTCGCACATCCTGAGCGAACGCAAAAGCTTTGTAATCTCTGTACTAAATCTAAAACTTCAGATTCTCCTTAAGAATCTGCTTGGTCAGTCTCCGTCGGCAGAGCAGCAAAAGTGAGGTCACATGCTTAATTATTAACGTCCGGAGATTTTAGTGGAAAAACAAGAAAACATTGTTCCCTTAAGTGTTAAGGAATTGCACCAATCACAATTAGATAATGGGCAATTAAACCTGGTCTTTCTAAATTGGCTTACTTACTAGCCTTAAGTTCCGGGGATAATCCGCCTACCGCGGACATCTTTAGTGGGACGTGAAAATTGCGGGGTAGCCTATTGTTAGTCCTAATACCTATTGTTTTAACCACGCGTGTCCCCTGGGGACATTTACTGGGTCTGGATCTCGCAGATCAGCCCACTACAATACTAGGTTAGCGTTTATTTATCAGCTAAAGATTTTTTTTTTCAAGTTGGAATTGAAGTTTTTTCTGTATTCAGTGTTGCGAGGTTGCGGTTTACTGAACAAAAATGATGTCAAAACAGGAAACAATCAGGGCTAAAATGTCGGTCCTGAGGTTTCAAGTTTTTGGTGGTGTGCGTGGTGTTTATAATTTTTAACGTAGCTTTAACAATTTTTCAGTCATATCGCTACCATGTCTGCGGCGTGGCAGTTTGTAGTGATGTCTAGCACGGAACATCATGCTCCAGGCAGGTAGCAGTCATATTATCCTGACATCAGGCCGACCAGTCCTAACACTAAGCTCTTAATGCGGAGCGTCGAGCAAGGCAGCTGTTAATACCATTTTTGTAAGTCTTTGGTATCACTCGACTGGGGATCGAACCCATGACCTCCCGCATCCGAGGTGGACGCTCTAACCACTAGGCCACGAATGCGGTTTTCAGTTTTTGAAGGGTTTCGCTGTATTTAATGTTTTTAAAAAGCATACTTTTGTAGAACATACACATCACAATTAAACTGTTTGATATTGTATCTAAGAGCTAAGACAATACAATATACATGAATAGTTGTCAATTGCGGAAGAAATGTACGAGACACGTGACATCTAATCGCGACGTCAGACGCTATTTATGAACAACTTATTAAAACGTGCATCAGGCATCCGAAAAATGGCGATAGACCCTTAAGTAACAAGTGCAGTAGGCATCCTGTCCGATGAAACTCTTTTTGTTACCGTAAGTCCTTTATATATGTGTATTTTTATTTTGCACATACGTCGTGTAGTCGCTCATGTACAGCATCGTTCACGTACTGTACATTTCCAAAAGTGATACATCATCGATTTACCGTATATTTCCTCAAGTACTACATACATCGTTCATATACTGTAGTAGTTGTTGTAGGGTTTAACGACATATTTCAGCATAAGATAGGTTACCCATAGCGGATAGTATAAATGGTGGAGGAAGAACTCGGGAAACCCCCAGACAGAACCACTGACCCACGAAAGGCTGGCAACTGGCAAACTAGCTTTCTTACATACACACATTGGCCGAATCCGAGACTCGAACCCACCCAGTCAGATGTGAGATTGCAGTAATCCGTAAAGGCGAGTGCTTTAGACTACTCGGCCACTAGGGACCTCTCATGTACTGTATATTTCCTCTAGTACTTTATCGCTGACTTCCCATATTCAATGATCAGCTTATAAATGAGGATAGACGCCCCAATTTTCTTTTACAATATTTAGGTAAATTCTTCATGATGATATATTCGTCTAAAGCTCGATCCTACTTGTTGACAAATTTGATTAGTCACAGTCTGGTTTTACAATGAAATAAATACTTTATAATTTGCATGGGACTGGGACGTTTCCCAAACTGTCACAGCATTTTGTGATTTAGAATAACCGAAACGGTGCTGTTGGTTTTAAACAATTATAAGCTCAAATCTTTTTCATTTATCTACCAGCTAGACTTTCTGAACAATTAACAGCTATTATATACAGCACTAACTCAGCGGTTGATTGTTTAATTTGATGTATCTCCTCCATCGCACATATTTACTTTTTTAAGACGTGTCTTTGTTGAATATGTTAGACAAAGCTTGAATTTGAGTGATTTTATTTCTTACGGTTTCCTAAATGTACAGGAAGAAAAAAATTATAGACAAATATATTCATGCACATGGGATGAATGATCTGCAATGATCGAGACACTATACAGTGACTTACAAACTTGAAACATTGTTTATTTTATGTTTGTTATTAAAAGATGTTATCAATCAAAACTTTTGAAACAGAAATACTGTTGCAAGGCGAATGCTATAGTTATTTTCTTTTTAAAAAATAAAATTGTGTCATATAACTAAGTCTCATTCACTTTTGTTCCGTTTTTAGCGATGCCACTATTTCATGTGAAAATCATAAATACATACTTTAAAAATTGAAAAACAAAAACAAAAGAACAATAATGAAAACATGTTTACAACCTAACAATGTTCTTAAGCAAGGATATGGTAAAATATAATTTAACTGAATATGGTTGTACCCAAGTCAACGACAGCCACATGCATGTTCGTTTACCGATTTTGCAAAACGTTGTTTGCGTTTTGCTGGGTTTCACGCTATTTTTCAGCACATGATAGGTTACACATGGAGGCCAGTATATATGGTGGAGGATGAATCCAGGACGACCGTGGGTAAAACAACTGAACTACCGGAAGCTAATGAGAAGCTTTCTCGCATATCAACATTGGTCAGGTCTAGACTCAAACTCACGTAGACATATGTAAGATGCAAGAGTTATCTGTTACATGTTCTAAACAAAACTAAGCTGCTGACACTCGTGAAAGTTGCAGCCTTGAAATACTATCACACTTGATGTAACATGGAAAAACGAGCCACCAAGCCTGGAGATTTCAAAACTCAGAACTTGAGTTTTAGAGATCGATTTTTGTTATTTTGTGAACCAATCAAAATATACTTTACAGAAAAGATGACATTTGCTTCACAGAATCAAATCTTTTATGATTTCTTTTATGGAGGGGGGGGGGCAGATAGATTGCTCCCGAATTCCAGGTCAGATAAATGTCCGTACTACACAAGTGGGGTTATTAGAACCCTTATTTGCTGCTGTATGACACATCTGAGTCGTTTCTGTTAGCGACTGCATAGACCTTAAGCAGAATAAAGACGGAACAAACTCAAATAGAAGTAGTTGATAGTAGTTTCATTGTTCACAAAATCAAACCATATTTCGTATGAAAAGACCTACTATATAAGATATAATTGTGACCATTTTGATTTTCAAGCTAAATGTACAAAGTCTGACCAAGTTAGACCGAAGAATGTTGGTTAAAATTCTTACACTATAAATTGTTTTCCACTGTTGATACTACTGCCATTACAGACCAATGATCACTTTACCACCACCACCACCACTATGCCTACTTCCATTTTTACTATTACTACTCTTACTACTAACGCTGCTACTACAACGACAATGAAAATAACATCAGTAACTCCTGGAATCCATCTCCACATGAGCACTAAGTTGAAAAAGATGTAAAAAGTACAACTTGTCATGACTATTTGTTATGCCCTGTCAAAGGTCCAAATCTTTCATCATATTTTAATATTTATGTTACACTAATAATATGTATACAACGAAATCAAAAGTAGCCACTTTTTACAGTGTCCTTTAACAAGAGGACTAAGTTGGCCTGATATTGTTTACCTATCTGCATACCGGTGATCTGTAAGTGCAGTTGCCAAGAAATCTAAGTCTGTGGGATGGTTTCTGCAGAACTTTGTATCTAATGTTGCTGATTGTATATCTTATGGCAACAATTGTTTCAAGGTTTCTCTAGTTAAACATCTTCATCCGTATATCATGACACATCAACCTGGTTTGTCCTTTACTAAAAGGTTTCTTTGTTAGGACTCTATCGAAAGTCGGTCAAATTTTGTTAGGTGGTGTTTGGAGATTAATTAGGGTGAATAGTTTGTTTATATTTAGTGACGGCAGCAATATTAGATGACTTAGGAGCATGATTTCTATACACGTGAAAGGTCGTAGAGAAAGGACACTATCAAGTTTAGTCGGTTTCTGTTTAGCGGTGTTTATACATCTCTCTCTCTCTCTCTCTCTCTCTCTCTCTCTCTCTCTCTCTCTCTCTCTCTCTCTCTCTCTCTCTCTCTCTCTCATTTAGTCAAAGTTTTGAAAGTTTTTGTGAAGAAATATTTGAAAGGATTGTATTTTTATTGTAACGGTAGATATATTATATAGCCACTCGGGATAATTTGTGGAACTACGTTTAATGTCATGGGGGGGGGAGGGTGTCAAAATTCGTCAGTATTTCCCAAGTAGTTTCTGATATATCCGTAAAAGTTACTTATATTTTTAGCACTGTTCGGGTATTTGGTAGTAGAATAACATCGTTTGAAACTCCATTATGCCAGGATGCCTTCCGTCAAATTTTGGTAAAATTCAGATGAATAATGTTTAAAAGTGATCCTGTAAAGGTTTTTATATTTTTAGCAATGGTGACCCTGTCTGATTGTGGATTGACATCATTGTACAAACTTGATAATATTCTAGTCTTGTATGTCACGATGCTTTCTATCAAAATTGGTAAAATTCACTGAGTGCTTTGGAGATGAAGTTCATTAAAGTTTGTTTTTGTTCTTATAACTTTTAATAACGGCATTAACATTTGATGGCGTATAAAGATCGTTGGCATACACTGGAGAGCCATCTATACCAGTATGCTTTCATTCAATCAAATTCTGTTGGGAAATATTTTGCAAAGATGCTTAGAGGTGTTTCTTGTTCCCATAAAAGCAATCCGAATTTATAACGTATCGACACCATTAGCACAAATTTGAAATCCATCTACTTCTATCATGTTAGAGCGTTCTGTCTCGAATAAACGAATTTGTCGGATAAGTTTTGGAGATTAAATTGTTCATAGTTTGTTCCATCTCATAATAATAAGTCTGAAATTTCTTAGTGCCAGATTTCTCCATGTAAAATCGTGTGCAGATTGGTTAAGCTGTTTGGGAGAACAAGTTCGGAACAGCAATTTTGACCAGATGACGCACGACGGACAAAGGATCGTACCGTAATCTTATTTGGCCTTAAGGCCAAATGATCTAAAAATAGGCATAATTTTGCATACGAATGCGGCGATTCCTTGATGGGACTTCAGTTTAGTAATTAAGCAAAGTCATAAGCGCTTGGCTAAGGGCCAAATAACTTAACCGAGTTGAGTTGGTGTTGCTTTTATATTGTATAACTCTAGCGAGCAAAAATGGGCGGGTAATCTGGGTGTATCATTCGGTGCAACCTTACACTGAAATTGAACTTATGCTCTTCTTACGATAAAAAGATATCGCTATAATTTACTCTACCCCCATCGACCTCCTACTTCGATAAACTATCAATAAAGTTAAAATCACTTTGTTTTACAATTGCTGGATATTATCATTTAATTGCTTTGGTCAATATTGCACAGATATAGCTATATCCAGTGGATAAAAGCTTGGTGCTAATAAAATCGTTTTCTCACTCCATGCTTAGTATGTATCAAAACTGCAAGGTTGGTGTTCAATGAATCGCGCGTCACTGATATATATCTATAGATCAATATCAAATCTGCTGGAACTTAGTCCCATTAGGTCCATGGGAAATATCGTAAACAAATATGCTAATTATCTGTCAATCTGTATCTAATATCATGACCTAATGTGCATGCGTATGTATGTATGTATGTATGTATGTATGTATGTATGTATGTATGTATGTATGTATGTATGTATGTATGTATGTATGTATGTATGTATGTATGTATGTATGTATGTATGTATGTATGTATGTATGTATGTATGTATATATGTATGTATGTGTCTTTGTGTGTATGTATGTATGTATGT